ACTATCTCTGGTGGACTTTAGTCCATCACATGCCTGGGAGAGGGTAAGTCTTATAGAACTGAACTGTTAACTGTGGAATCTGACTCCAGGTAGGGTCAGAATTGAATTGAATTATAGGACACACAGCTGGGGAATTGTTTGTTGGTGTGGGGAACCTCTCATATTCACCTCCCACACACACATTGGAGTTGGGTGCAGAGCCCAAAATAGGAAGGCATTATATAGAAACATTTGAAGCTATGAGAATAAGAATAAATTAGTGAGATAGTATAAAGGAAAAAGAATAAGTGCTTAAAACCAAAACCTGATAAAACCTCAGCATTTAGAGAATAGTTCTTTATCAGCTCAGCAAGCAGGGACCATGTGTCTGCTTTTCCACACCTGGGCCACTCTTTCACCAAGTATTGTTTTGAATCAGAGCATCACACTGACAGAAACAGAAAGTAGGCTAACAGACAACAGGGCCATTTGGACTTACCTGAGTGGTCATGACTCAGATGGAAGTCACTCTTTATATCTCTCCTTTCTCACTGAAACACCCAGTGGAATGACTGGGTTCAGTCACTTCTGCCTCAGAAGCCTGTAACTAAGCTATCCACAGGGATCCTTTGTGCACCTCTTTTAGCCTGAGACACTGTCATTGCTTCCCTGGGTTAGCACAGCACTCTTCTAGCTGCTCATGTTCCTACCTCTATCCCTCCAGTCACTTCTCATGGTAGCTATAGGGTACTTCAGTTACTTCTCATTTGCCTTAAAAATAAAGGGACAAGCCCTGACTGTTTTGGCTCAGTGGATAGAGCGTTGGCCTGCGGACTGAAGGGTTCCAGGTTCGATTCCAGTCAAGGGCATGTACCTTGGTTGCCGGCACATTCCTAGTGGGAGGCGTGCGGGAGGCAGCTGATCAATGTTTCTCTCTCATCAATGTTTCTGACTCTATCCCTCTCCCTTCCTCTCTGTAAAAAATCAATAAAATATATTTAAAAAAATAAAGGGACAAAAACATCAATTTCTGAGTTAAATCTCAGTATACGAAAAATTGTGAGTGTTGTTTGCCAAAAACCTTAGGAATCTGTTTATTGAATTATTACTGAAGTAAATAAATTTGGGGTTTAGTTTTTCTCAAAAACTAAAGTTCAGTTATTTCAAAGCAAAAGTGCATTTCTACAAAGAAAAATGATAAAAGCTGCATATTTTAATATATAATTTTAAATTAAGTGTAAATCAGAGTTGTATATGTGTGTATATTGACCACTTTTTATCAGGTATGTCTGATATTTTTGTTGAAAACATTTGCAGTCCTTACTCTTCTTTCATGTATTCATGTCGGTAATGTTCATTATATAAACCAACTCTATACACTATGTTTCTAGCTTATATATAAAATATATATAACATTATTTACATTTTAAAATTAAGTTCAAGTCAATATAATCATTTGTAATGCAATTATTCTTAGCATGAAAGTACTTTCACTTGTCTTTGACCAATAATACATGAATGCTTTAACTTTAAAGGATAACTTTTGTATTACGTTAATGAGATATGAGAATTTTCTTTTACATTATACTATTTTTTGTTTCTACTTCTCTGTTTGGAAAGGTTCCTACGTCTGCCCTTCAAAGACATTTTATATAATAATATTTAGTTATTAGAAACTTTGGTAATGAAAAGTTAACTGAAATCCAATTGAATAGATTTCTCTTGAATCAATGCAATGTAGTCATCTACACCTTAGGAGAAGAGAAATATCAGACGAAATAATGGCTCTCAGTAAACAGGTAAAAATTAATTTTAGAATAGATTTTCTACTAAGGTAAACTGTAAAACCTCTGAAGAAGAGCAATGATTTATAATTTTTTAAAAAAATAAAATGTCAGATATAATACTTTATAAATATTTGTCAAGGTAATGGAATGGATGTCCTGAGATTACTAGATATTAATCCAGAATTTACTCTTTCTTTTATTTCCACCCTTGTCAGTGAGAAATGATTTAGAGAACGTTATCATAGGTATGATACTTTTAGGTTTAAGCATATAAATTTTTTTAAATATATTTTTATTAATTTAGTAGAGGAAGGGAGAGGGAGAAAGAGAGAGAAACATCAAAGATGAGAGAGAATCAATTGGCTGCCTCCTGCATGCCTTCCACTGGGGATCGAGCCCGCAACCCTGGGCATGTGCCCTCACCGGGAATCAAACTGTGACCTGATTCATAGGTAGGTGCTCAACCATGGAGCGTGCTGGTCGGACTAAGCGTATAAAATTTTTAATGAAAATGACATGAAATTTTCCTATAAAAAAGGTAGTCTCAGTTAATACTTAGGTTCATTTATGGGAATTGTACTTAATGTTTTAGGAAGATGAAAAACTTCTTGTAATAAAAATGGCTTTCTGATCAGTTACTCTTTAATCAGAAATTTAGATAATTTCTTATACATTCCTTTTAAACAAATTATAATCATACTAGAGGCCCAGTGCACGGCATTCGTGCATTGAGGGGCAGCTCCCTCAACCCGGCCCGTGTCCTCTCACAGTCCAGGACTCCATGGGGGATGTCCACCTGCCACAGTGGCTGGAGAGGCTCCTGCTACCACCATTGTGGTCACTGTGCTAACCAGCTGTGAGCCCAGCTTCTGGCTGAGCTGCGCTCCCCCTGTGGGAGTGCACTGACCACCAGGGGTCAGCTGCTGCGTTGAATGTCCCCTGGTGGTCAGTGCATGTCATAGTGACCAGTTGTTCTGCCATATTTTGGTTGATTTGCATATTAGGGTTTTATTATATAGGATTTCATACTTTTTTATATACAACCCCTAGAGCATTTCTTATTTTTGTAAATTATTTCTAAAAATAAAAGTTTGTTTGTTTTTTAATTTTCAAGACTGCTGAGAAGTCAGGCCAGATTGAAAGATCAAAGAATGTCAGGCAAAGACAAAATGATTTTAAGGTAAGTTAAGGGTAAATATGTAGACTTTGTCACAAGGTAAGGTTTTTTCAATCATAGTAGAAGACTTTATTTTATTTTTTTTTAATTCTTTATTAGTTAAGGTATTACAAATGTGTCCTTATCCCCCCCATTAGCCCCCCCCCTCATAGTAGAAGTCTTTATGTTCAAGATATTCATCATCACTCAAGCAGAATCCTTCAATTTATTTATTATTGTTTAGAAAATGATTCAGGAAGTAATGCAGAGTCTTGTGAAGCTGATCCGTGGAGCACTACTCCCACTTAGCATCCCAGAGGGTGGAGTGAGGCAGTATGGAGGCTGGGAGGTGAAGTCTGAGCTCTCTGGACAGTGGCTCGCTCATGTCATACAGACCATAAGGTAAATATGGACACATTTTCCTGAAAAGGATAAATCTTTTTTACTGTTAAAAAAATATTCATGATGTGATATTATTTTTAATACATTTTACGAAGAATTTTACTTTGTGCCCTTCGCATCCACTGTTTCCCATGTGTCATCTAGCAGTCTCTTAAACCTTCCTGGTCTTACATTTGATATGCATCCTTTATTGTTTAATTTAGTGTTACTGTTATAATCCCTCTTATGGTCTTACTTTTACTTTATTTTCAACATAATATTGTAGCTTTTAAGCTCCATAATGAATCATTCATTATAGGATAACCAAAATGATGACAAGGGGCTGCTTTGTGATTGCACTCCACTCACTCACTTTTTTTTTGTTATGTTTATTTTACAGGCTTACTTATGAATCACTGACTGCCCTTGAAATTCCTAATGACATGTTACAGACTATCCAGGATCTCATTTTGGATCTCCGAGTACGTTGTGTAATGGTCACATTGCAACACACAGCAGAAGGTATCTTAAGAAAAATTGATGACATTTACTAGACAATGATTACCTGAATATCTCCCTCTTTCTAGCTTCCAAATCCTTGAAACAAGAAATTACTTTTATGGAAATTTGAATATTTTAGACCATCTGTCTAAAGAATGCTGCTCAATAGAATTCTTTCAAAAGTAATTTTTCAAAAACTTGAGATACCAAACCATGCAGAAATAAAGATGAATATACTTGAAAAATTTTTACGTACATAAAAACATCCTTATTTTTAAAAGGCAAATACTAAGTAGAAAAAGTAAAATATAAAATGTACATAAAGTATTATGCCATTATTAAAAATATATATATGTATTTTAAAAGTTTAATTTAGAAACATCAATGTAAAATCAGAAGAAAGACTGTTAACAGTGGTTCTTCAGGAAATAGAAATCATAAGTGATGATCATTTTCTTTATACTTTCTAGAATTTGGGGGATTTTTACCTACAATTATAAAAGAACAATTAAGATTATCTTTTTAATAAAGCTACTCTTTTTTTTTAAGTTCTTTATTGTTTAAAGTATTACATAAGTCTCCTTTTTCCCCCATTGACCTCTCCCCAGCCGCTGCCACCATCCAGCACATGCCCTCACCCCCCCTGCTGTCTCAGAGCTACTCTTTTGGTATTAAATACTTTTTTAAAAATTCAAAAATGTTATAAATGACCTAAACCATTACTATCTACCATCAGGACTATCATCATTAATTTCTATTAGTACAGAATTTGTTCTAATGCACTCTATAAACAGAAAGGGAATGGAATCAGGTGAGAAACTGAATACTGTCCTCTTAATTCATCACCTCCTCCTCTCAGGGACCTGAAACAGACGCAAAGGTAAAGGCATTCCTTTAGCCAAGTGAGAATAAGACTGCCATTGTCAGGAATGTAAAGGATTAAAACAGAATCTACATTGTTTATTAGAAATTTTAGGGGGGAAATATTAGATAGTTATTTTGTACGTGTTTAAGATTATCAAGAGTGCTGAATAAACATAGATTATCTAAAGTTATTATTAAACCTAGCCTCGCATTCTCCAAATTGGGTTATATAGTCAAAAATTTTCTTTACAGTTGATCTCTTACCCCCTCCTTCTGCCCCCCTACCCTCCCCGGCCTTCCCATTGCGTATATGCATGCATATAAGCATAACCAATGGACATAAGACACTGGGAAGTAGGGGAGGCCAGAGGATTGTCAAGGGTGGGGGAAAAAGGAGACATATGTAATACTCTTTGTAATATTTTAAGCAATAAAACAAACAAAAAAATAAACAAACCAGCAAATAAAATCTCAGAAGGAAGTTAAAAAAATATATAAGTAAAAAATAAAATAAAATATAATTGTGTTTATCTCCCCCCAAAAAATAAAAAAATAAAAATAAAATTATATTAAAAAAAATTTTTTCCTTACATTAATGTTTTATTAGAAAAATCCAGTGAATAATACACATTTAAATCCTTGAGTTAACCAGAATTATATTCTGTGCCTACTTTCACCAATTTTTTACAAACCTGTAAAAAACAATTAAAAACCATAACCCATAGATTTTTATCTCTATAAAGTTCAGTGAAATAACCACAATAAAATGTACTTGTGTGTGTGTGTGTTCTCCCTATAGAAATAAAGAAATTAGCTGAAAAGGAAGACTGGATTGTCGATAATGAAGGGTTGACTTCTCTAGTAAGTTTAAATTCTTTTAAATGATGACTCATTAGTGTATATTATATTCAAAATAAATGATTTATTATATTAATATGGAGCATGCGCTTTCTGTATTACAATTCCAAATAGTTTCTGGAAAGAGAAATAGAAATTTTTTAAAGTTTTCTTCTCAGAGTCATTTTTGCTGAACCACACATATTTAAAAATTAATAAAAAGTAGATTTTTTTAGAATAACCATTTTTCATTGTATCACTTACTATTTTTGCTTGCATTGCATTTTTAATAGATTATGCTTAATTCTAAGTTACCCAGCAACTTGAATTTTTCATGAAAGCAGGATAAAAAAAAATGCTTTTGCTGACTTCTGAGCCAAAACAACAACGTCGAAGTTCTCCAGATGCATACACATGCCAGGTAGCTGTGATCTTCATTCAGAAGGATCATCCCCTTTTCATATGGGACTTTTAAGTTTTCAAAATACCTTTGAAAATAGTTTTCATCATTTGTCGTGTCAGGTTTCTCCCCCCCTCTATTATCACCATTTTTTCCACAAAGTTATTACAATGTTATTAACTGTATTTCCTGTGCTGTACATTATATCCCCATGATTTTTTTTAGTCAGGTTGTTGAGAAGCAATAATCCCATGAAATAGTACATTTCCTCGAATATCTGCACTTCTTATTAACAATATTCCTTTGAGAGTTGAAGAATTTTTGACAAGTTGAAATTATTCCTCTGTTTCTCCAAAGCCAAGGTTCCTTCTTAAGTTAATAAAAATATCTACAGTACACCTTCCTTTGTATGTAACAATGTGATTTAGAACAGCAGTGTTTCCACATTTTTGTAAATTAAATCATGGTTGAAATTAAGGGAACTTAATATTTTAATAATTCCATTGTGATTATATTTTAAAGGAATTATTTTTTATAAAGATCTGTTTTGATTCATTTGGTTTATTCTATTTTTCATAATGATTTGTATATAAATACAAAAGAGAAAAGAGGTATGGGCAGACCTTGCACCATCCAGCATGGCAGCCACTTGAAACGTGGCTCATGTAAAATACACATCAGATTTGAAAATACCCTCAAAGGTTCCAGCTTTGAGTATTTTTAATTTAACTAACTAAAGCTCTTAGACTTGGACTGAGTACAAAAAGAAAGAATGTAAAATACCTCAACTTTTTATATTACATGTTGAAATAATATTTTGATATATTTCATTACATAAATTATATTAAAATTGTTTTTTTCTTTTAGTTTTCTTAATGTGGTTACTGGAAAATCTGAAATTGTATACATGTCTTGTGTTTCTGGCTCAAATTATTACTTCTGTGGGACAGCACTGGTGTAGTGGAACAGGTACTGCAGTGGATCTAGAATCCTAGTCTGGCTCAGTCCTGAATTCTGCTATATCATAGCTTTGCAGTCTTAAAGAAGCCACTTAACCTCTGCCCTAGTTAAAGAAGCAGAGCACTTTTTCACAGTGTTGCTAATTAAGATTAAATGGGACGCTGTAGAACAAACCTTTCTACAGGAGTTTCATTTATAAATTCATAACTATAATACTGAGGCCACTATAATAGAATAGTATCTTCAGTTTATGTTATGCCTTAGTATTTTCAGAGCTATTTCATAGAACCCTATCCTGCTTAATTATCACAGAAAATCTGAAATATAGGCTAAAGTGGATCATTAGACCGTCATACACTGAAAAACTTACTGCAGATGAAATAAGCCAAGATAGATTAGACAGAAAGTTACCTTTGATGCTGGGTTTTTGATTTGTGTTTCAGATAAGTTTTGTGGAAATGAAAATAATATATATATATTTAATTTGAGGAAACGAGCATCTGTTTACATTTTTTAAAGTTTCCATAAATAAAACAAAACTTAGCAATAAAACAGGTATTGGCTTTATGTCCTTCTTTAGGTTACTGTTTCTTGCACATACAGCCCAGAATGTGCTTACCTGATAGCTGTCACACCTGGGGTCCCAGTGTGTGCTTACCAGATGGCTGCCACATATAAGATTGTTTGAGTAGATAAGCCTCTTTGAAAATGCTTTGAAATGGTTACTATAAAAATTGTTTGTATCAACTTAAATTTTAAGTATAATAGTAAGAAACCATAACCTCTTATAACTAACTTCACGTTTGATCTCACACACACACAAGCCAAAAAACTAAATCCACCACAACCTGTAGATGAATGACCTATAGAAAGTTGCACTCGTGGGGTTAGCCAGTCCTTCTAGTCAAATGTTGAAGAAACATACTAACATGATAGACTTAATGAAGCTGAGCACAGTTTTAACTATTCAGCATGAACCTCACTTAAGAGAGAAAGTGAATCAGTGCTCAGAATAAAGTCTAGGTTCCAGCTTTGAGTAGTTTTTCCTTAACTACCTAAAACTCTTATACTTAACAGTGACTTAAATTATATGCCTGTAATTTATATTTCGTTAACATTTCTGTAATACCAGTCTTGTTTGTTTGAAATGAGGTTATGTTTTTCTTTCCCTGTGACTGGGATGGGAAAATGTTCCTTAAAGGAATGAACATTAAACTTTGCTTCATTATGACTATTCTTTCAGCTCAAGTATTTTTTTCAATTTGAACTTCACGTAAGTGTTCTGAAGTAGCCTGTTTGAAAGCATCCTGTTTGTTTTTTTTTCCTGTTAAAAATATTTTCTGCCTTTTTAAAATGTGGATAATTCTGATAATTTTCTTCCTCCAGAAGAACTGAAATGATTTTTTAAAATATATTTTAATTGATTTTAGAGAGAGGGGAAAGGAGAAGGATAGAGAGATAGAAACATCGATGGGAGAGAAACATTGATCGACTGCCTTCTGCACACCCCTACTGGGGATTGAGTCTGCAACCTGGTCATGTGCCCTGACCAGGAATCAAACTTGTGACCTCTGGGTTTTTGGGTCGAAGCTCAACCCCTGAGCCACACCAGCCCAACAAGAACTATAATAATTTGTGGTAATTCCTTTTGGTCAGCTGAATTGGTAATTCACTGACACAGAGATAGTACTGTGTCCTTTTAGGAAAAAAAAAAGCAGATGTAGCCAAACCAATTTGGCTCAGTGGATGGAGCGTCGGTCTGTGGACTGAGGGGTCCCAGGTTCGATTCTGGTCAAGAGCATGTGCCTTGGTTGCGGGCACATCCCCAGTGGGGGGTGTGCAGGAGGCAGCTGGTCGATGTTTCTCTCTCATCAATGTTTCTGACTCTCTATCCCTCTCCCTTCTTCTCTGTAAAAAAATCAATAAAATATATTTAAAAAAAATAGCAGATGTTTATCATTTACTTTCCATTGAAGTGAAACTATTCATTGGGATCTTTGGTATTCTCTATCCATTTATTGTATTCATCCTATATAATAAAAGCCTAATATACTAAATATCCAGTCGTTTTTTCAACCAATCAAAGCGTAATATACTAATGAATGCTAAGGCTGTTCAACCACTTGCCATGATGGGCGCTGACCACCAGGGGAATCCAACTGGTAGGTTAGCTTGCTGGGGTCTGGCCTATTGGGACTAAGCAAGATAGGCCGGACACCCCTGGAGTCCTCCACTGTCCCTCCCTGGCTGGCCAACCTCCATGGCCCCAGTCATGCATCGACTGGGTACCTCATCCTAGCCTGCATCCTCTCATAATCCGGGACCCCTCAGGGGATGTCGGAGAACTGGTTTCAGCCCCATCCCACAGGCCAGGCCAAGGGACCCCACTGGTGCATGACTTTGTGCACCGGGTCTCTAGTATAGATATAAAGTAAAAATAAGAAAACCTAGTTCATATTTTAATACAAGAAATCTCAACCACACATGTGAACTTCAACATTTAACTGTCCACAGTTGAATGTTGAATTTAATTCTGTTACTATTTTAACATTTTAGATTTTCATTCCTTTTGAGTTCGGTACATTGAATGGATAAAATCACGTATCTAATTAACATTTTGACTCTTTAAATACTCTCTGTGCAGTTGTTATTTCATCCTATAAACTTCACTAGCTATTTTTTTTTGGTACTTCTACTTTTTAAGTATTTTATGGTGCCCTGTGGCAGTTGCCAAATGTAGTATTAAAATGCATTAAAGGCACTATTTTAGCTTTCATTAAGTCTGGGTTCCTTTTTATAAGAAAATAAGCTTGTCTCCCCTCCCCGCATACACACACACACACACACTATATATATACAGGTGTCTCTTTCTTCTTTTCCCCCGCAACTCTTTTAACGATTGAAATGTCTATTGAGGAGAGATTCTGACTGCTGATTTTTGCACAGAGCTGATTTAATTGGTCTTTGAGCCTTGCAAAGTTCCACACCACTGGATGAAATCTGGACCTTAGCTTCATCTCTTGCCCTCCAAGCTCATGCTCAGTGGTGATATTCTATGGCTCCTCAGCCACGCCAGGTGGCCTAGGCACATATTGTCCTCCTCCCCAACTCACATCCTCCTTCCTTTTTCTTTTTAGAGGCTGGTTCCTCTTGTTCTTCAGTCCTCAGCTGAAATGTTTTCACTGTCTCAGAGGGGCCTTCTTTAGCCATCCTATTTAGAACAGATCCTCCTCCATCACCATTTTCCTCTTAGTTCTACTTATTTACTTCATGACAATTAGTTTGGGATTGCATTTGTCTTAATTCTGTACTTTCGACTTGTTTTAGCAAAAAGTAAGAGTTTTGTTGATTCTTTTATGGTTAGTGTCTCCCTAGAATATACATTTATTGAGAACTCTGGCTGTCTTTTATATTCCTATCACCTGGAAAATGCCTAGCACAAAGTAAAACCTTAAATGCAATTAGAAGCTAAGATGTTAGGATTCATTCAAATTTTTCTTGAATACCATTTGCTGTGCATTTCTCAAGTTTCATTTTCTGATATAATGTATGTAGAAAATGACAATAATGGCTTTTTAAGTTAAAGATCTTGGTCTCTTCAAGATCATTATTAACATTAAATTTTCTTGAACAGTACCAGAAATGTGGAAGATATAAGACAGTGATGGCGAACGTATGACACACGTGTCAGAGGTGACACGCAAACTCATTTTTTTTGTTGATTTTTCTTTGTTAGATGGCATTTAAATATATAAAATAAATATCAAAATTATAAGTCTTTGTTTTACTATGGTTGCAAATATCAAAAAATTTCTATATGTGACACGGCAACAGAGTTAAGTTAGGGTTTTTCAAAATGCTGACACGCCGAGATCAAAAGGTTCGCCATCACTGATCTAAGAGGTGGAGCTCATTCAGACTGTACCTTGCAAGCAGGATTTAAAATATAAAGGCATTACATCTGCTTTTTATCACATCATTTGCATCTCAGAAGAGTAGAATTTTTAAGAAAAATTTTAGTTAAAACTGATTTTATTGAAGTTGATGAACTTTAGAATTTCAAGATTCACCTGATTTTAAATATAAAGTGCAAAACATAGCAAAGCTAAATCTCAATGACTAGGTTATTTGTCAGTTTGTGTTTCTGTTCCCTTCTATAAATCTGAAAATTTGAGAATTTTTGTCCATACTCACTTCTTTTAAATGTCTTAATTACCAGTGATTGCTTTGAATTTTAAGATACATGTGTATGTGTGTGTGTGTTTTTTCCTTTAGCCATATCAGTTTGAACAGTGCATTGTGCATTCTCTGCAATCGCTTAAAGGAGTTCTAGACTGCAAGCCTGGAGAAACCAGTGTAAGTTTTCTGTTCTGGTCAACCTCTGTTGCAGACTTTCCCAATGAGCTGTTGGCAATCAATTGTAAAGTTTTGAGTCATTTCAGCACAATGAAATGCTTGGCTTGTTTTATTTCATTTAAATATAGAGGCGGCTGTTTTCTTGATTCCAAGAGAGGCTGATGGAAGTTAAAAATGTGAATGTAGGTGTTGTAGATAGACTATGTGCATTGTTAACACTTTGTATATGGACAAAACAAGTGACTTAGGTGGTGTTAAGCTGCTCCATGTCAGTGTCTTCTCAGGGCAAAATCACTGTAATTAGAAACACTCACTGCCTAGCCCAGCTCTTCATTCATGGCCCTTTTCAGAATAAGGTTATACATACTAGAAGCAGTTTTCGACGTGTTAACTCTTTATATTGAACTTCATAAATAGAAGTTTTGTTTGAGCTAAGTCCAAAATAAAATTTTTCAACAAAATTCTTCCTTATAGGTCTTTCAACAACCTAAAACACAGGAGGAGGTTTGCCAACTAAGCATCAATATCATGCAGGTAATAACTACAAACACTGGTACCCTGAGCTTGAAATAATGCAAATTATTTTTCAACCTTCTCTTATTTAGAATATATATAACATCTATACTAATAAAAGGCACTAGTTGTACCCATTAATAATGCAGATTTTGTAATCAAAGAAAACACGATAATTTCAAGAGAAACATCAAAAGTGCTTTATTCAAAGTAATGTCCATCGCTACCTACACATTTCCCCCATCTTTCAGGTAAGTTGTGGATACGGTTCCAATAGATCTTTTCTTGTTTTGAGGCAAACCATTCAGAGACCCAATTTTCCACTTCTTCGTACATTTTGAAGGGCTGCTCAGAAAGTGCATGTGCCATCGACCGGAACATGTGGTAATCTGAAGGAGCAAGGTCTGGTGAACACCATGGGTGAGTTAGTACTTCCCAGGCAAGATCTTTTAATGTATCTTCCACTAGTTTTGAAGTGTGTGATGGTGCATCATCATGAAGCAAAATTACTTTGCCATGTCTTCTGGCCCATTCTGGTGGTTTTATGATCAAAGCGTGGTTCAAATTGATTTTTTGTTGTCAGTAGCAAAATGCCATTGAAGCAACATTTTACTGATGACTTTTCAGTTTTCCATTTGTCTTTTGTTCAGTTGATGTGGCACCCATTTTCCTTCCTTTAAAATCTTTCCCATTGCTTGTAAATGCTGGGAAATTGCTTGCTGAGTCTTTCTGCAAGTTGTTTTTGAGTTTGCCTCGCATCTTCATCCAATAATGATTGTAATTGTTGGTCTTTAAACTTTTTCGGTTGACCTGGACATTCGTTGTCTTTCACATCAAAATCATCACTTTTAAAGCATTTAAACCAGCATTCACAAGTATCTTGAAGCATGTTCACCATAAGCTTCCTGAAGTATACGATAACTTTTTCTTCAAAATAAAGAAATGAATTAAAACTTCCCGCAAATGCTCTTTTTTTGGCATGAAATTCGGCATTTTTAAGGGTAAAAATATGATAACACCTTCAGCAAATTAGACATATGAAGTTTTGAAGCTTGCTGTCAATACAACAAAATAGCATCCATATCAAATCGCATATATATCAACATATGTGTGACTTCATCTATTGAGAAAAATCTGCATATTAACCAGTACACCTGGTAATATGCTAATTAGACCTGACAGCCAAACGACCTTCTGGACGCCATTCCGGACATCCTTTAGGACATTGCTGCAGTGGCCGGGCGAGGCACAGGCGGTTAAAGGCGATCAGGCTGGCAGGGGAGCATTTAGGGGTGATCAGGCAGGCCGGCAGGTGAGCAGTTAGGAGCTAGTGGTCCAGGATTGCGAGAGGAATGACACCTAACCACTCTGCTTGCCTGCCTGATTGCCCCTAACTGCTCGCCTGCCTGCCTGCCTGCCTGATCACCCCTAACCCTTTTTGCCGCCTGCCTGATCATCCCTCACTGCTCGCCTGCCTGCCTTATTGCCTCTAACTGCCTCTGCCTCGGCCCCCACTGCCACAGCTTCGTTCAGAAGGACGTCCGGAATGACATCCGGAAGGTCGTTCGGCTCTTCGGTTTAATTAGCATATTATGCTCTTATTATCTATACTAACAAAGAGCTAATATGCTAATGGTCAATATGTCATAGCGGCTATCGACCAGGTCTTTAACATATTAGCTGGGGTGTTGCTCCGGAGACAGGGCGGAAGTGGGGAGGCACCCAGCGGAGGCAAGACCTTCCCGTACTGGGGAGGGCAGGGGTGAGAGCCCATATACCCCCCTCACCAGTCCTTCGCCACCCACCGCTCACATTCTGAGTGCCCTGCGGCCCACCTGCCAGGGGAAGGATCACAGCGCAGCAGGCAGGTTCAGTTCCCTGGAACTGATGGGGCGGAGCTGCCGGGGACTGGGCGGAAGTGGAGAGGCACCCAGAGAAGGCGGGACCAGCCCGAGGTGACTAGAGGGACTGAGGGCAGGGCTTGAAGTGGCCAGAGAAGGCCAGGGGCTCTAGGGGCTGGGCCAGGCGCACTGGAGCTCTGTGTGGACAGGTTTGGGTATAAAGGCAGGGCTGCAAGTGGGTGGGCCGGGCCAGGCCGCACCATGATTTTCAAATCACATGCTGGGCTCCTAGTTATAGATAAAATTATTTTTAACTAGAGGCCCAGTGCACGAATACTGTGCACGGGTAGGGACTCTTGTGGCTGCCATCTGCCGGCCAGGGCCTCCATTCCCCCAGCTGCCTGCCACCAGCTGGGGCCTTGCTTCCCCCGCTGCCTGCTACCACTGCTGGCCTGGGCCTCCCTTCACCTGGCTGCCTGCCACCAACACTGGTCAGGGCAGGGCCAAATGGGAGGGGCCGCAGGCGGTTGGCCGGCCAGCCCCACCCCATGGTTGAACTCCCAGTTGAGGGAACAATTTGCATATTAGGCTTTTATTATATAGGCTATTCAAATAGATTAGAATCTACGAGCTCATGTCACTGAAACTTCTTATTTTTTAACTTAGACTTTTATATATTGTCTGGAACAATTGAGCACCAAGCCTGATGCAGATGTAGATACTGCACAGTAAGTAAAACTAAAATTAATCTCATTCATGCATTTAGGAGGATTGAAAATACAGACTGATGTTATATATTTGGTCTTTTGTCACATACTAAGATTTCCAATAAGAGAGATAAATTATTATAAGAAATTTATAATTTTCTATATTTGACCTATGTTTTTTCCATAGTTTCTTTATCTTCTGAACTCATCTTTACTAGAGATGTGTTGAGTAAACTGAGCACATGATCAGCTCAGTAATTATTCAAACGAAGTTTTATAAATAATAAAGTAGAAAATTAAAGTATATAACTTACTCATTATCTTTTATAATTCAGGTGGAAAGGATTTCACTAATACTCTTGTTAAAGACTAATTATTTTAGTGAGATTAATTCTGGGTCAGGCTTAGTTATTTGGACTGCAAAAGACAGATCTTGATTCTTGATATTTATAAATCCATGAGATAATGCTTTCATTTTTTAAATATTTTTCAGATTGTTCTATAGGATTTTTTTTAAATCTAGTTTTTCTGAATGACGTTGCCATGTGTAACTTTTGTGCACCTAAGATTTATGCTCTGACACACATAATACTGAAATAAATGCCTGTTAAATTCATAATAGAAAAATTAAGAATTTTTTTCCTGTTTTTCTGTTTCCTGGTATTGGGTTTTGCCTCTCAGTATAGAAACTGCCACCTCTCTGAGACATAATAAATATTTAATTCTTCTAGTTTTCCTTTAATTTTATATATCTGTTCACTTGTGAGCTGTTAACTAATTCCCTAGCTCAACTCAGTTATAAATGGTTGACTATGAAGATGAGCTTGAAAAAGCCTGTGGAGATTCTGATAGTCACGGTCATTTCAATTATGTAAGTCTATACCTAAAAATTAAATTATGAGTTATTTTCTCCCTTGGTGATTTGTTTTTAAATTTAATTAAGTCAGGATTAGGAAAATCAAAATTATATGGCCCTTGTTAATAGATAGTTTTTAGTGTCTAATTTGAGCTATTGATTGTTAAATATTAGAAACTTACAGAAAGTTATTTGATTTTTTTTTCACCAAAGGATCATTTTTTTTAAATTAAAGTACAGTTGATATACAATTAGTTTCAGGTGTTAGAACATAGTGATTCCGCACTTATATGCCTTATGAAGTGATCACCACAATAATCCTAGTAACCATCTGTTACATAGAAAGTTATATTACTCACTATATTCCTTTAGCTGTACATTACATTCCTGTGACTTATTTATTGTATAACTAGAAGTTTGTACTTCTTGATCCCCTTCACCTTTTTTAATCTTCCCCTCGCCACCCTCCCCTCTGACATCAATCAGTTTGTTCTCTGTATCTATGAGTCTTTTTGTTTTATTTGTTCATTTGATTTGCTTTTTTACATCCCACACATAAAGAAAATCATATAGTATTTGCCTTTCTCTGTCTGACTTATTTCACTTAGTATAGTACCTCCTACATCTATGCATGTTGCAAATGGCAAGATTTCACTGTTTTAAATGGCCGAGTAATATTCCTGTGTGTGTGTGTGTGTGTGTGAGAGAGAGAGAGAGAGAGAGAGAGAGAGAGAGAGAGAGAGAGAGAGAAACATAGCATCTTTATCCATTCATGCATCTATAGATATCTATAGGTTGCTTCTATTTCTTGGCTATTGTAAATAATGCTGCAATGAACATAGGGTAGGGTACGTATGTATTCTAATAGTGATTTTGAAGTATTTACTTATTTTATTAATACTCACGAGTGGAAGTTTGGGTAGTATGGTTGTTTTATTTTTAATTTTTTAAATATATTTTATTGATGTTTTTACAGAGAGGAAGGGAGAGAGATAGAGAATTAGAGACATCGATGAGAGAGAAACATCGATCAGCTGCCTCCTGCACATCTCCTACTGGGGCTGTGCCCACAACCAAGGTACATGCCCTTGACCGGAACTGAACCTGGGACCTTTCAGTCCACAGACCGGCGCTCTATCCACTGAGCCAAACTGGTTAGGGCTATTTTTAATTTTTTAAGGAACTGCCATACTGTTTTCTATAGTGGCTGCATCAGTTTATAATCCCACCAATAGTACATGAGGGTTCCCTTTTCTTCACAATGCAAATATTGGTGTGCTTGATGTTGTCCTAGAGATACATTAAACTTTTTTCTTTTTGCTCTTCTGATTAGTTGATGTTTTACTACTTTGTCTTCCAAATCTATGATTTTTTCTTTTGTAGCAGCTAACCTGCTGTTGATTCTCTATAGTATATATTTTTCATTTTAGTTATTATATTCTTAGTTCCGGTTGTATGTTTTTCCCCTGGTCTCTTTGTGAACTTTTCACTCAGTTCATTCATTCTTCAACCAGATTCATTGAGCATTTCTATAGCCATTATTTTGAAATATTTATTTGTTAGACTGCTTAATCACCATTTCATTTAGGTTTTTTAACTGGGATTTTGTCCTTTTTTTAGTTTAGAACACATTTCTCCATCTCCTCATTTTGCCTGTCTCCCTGTGTTTATTTCTGTGTATTAGTTGTAGTTTTGTTGTATCCATGGGAGGAGGTGAGCTCAGAATCTACCTACTCTGCCATCTCTATTGCCACTATGCAGAGAACCGACCAAAAGATTTTAAAGCCAAATTAACATAAGGTTCACTTTTTTTTTTTTTTAGGTATAGTTGACATATAACATTATATTAGCTTTTTTAATTTTAGGGCTTTGATTGTAACTGTTCTCTTTCTTGCTTTTATATTCAGTCTTTCCATTGATGTTTCTTCTCCTGATTTGTTTGGAAGTATTCATGAAGACTTCAGTTTGACTTCTGTAAGTGAGATGATAAGTAATTAAGATGATAAATAGAGGGTGAAACATGTCATTTAAAAACTATGTAGCTGGACCAGAGTGGCTCAGTTGGTTGAGCATCATCCTGTGCACTGATGGTTCATTTCCTGGTCAGGGCACATACTTGGGTTGCGGGTTTGATCCGTGGTTGGAGCATGTACAGAAGGTATCCAATAGATGTTCTCTCCCCTCCCCTCCCCTCT